TGTCTCGAAGCGAATGTTAGAGTTGTATCTATTCCTGTCTAACATGTAGATTTACTGCGTGTTTCTCCTAGGTAATGTTGTAAGCCTGAGTTAGTGCGAGACTGCACATCGGCAATAGTTTGTGTTTGTAACCTAATTAAACATCGTAATTACATATCTGCCATCATGCAAGAGGGTCCGAATAAGTGTCTGAGTGTTTAAACCCTAATGCATGAGAAATGGAAAATAAACACCAAAATTACGTATCTGCCATCATGCAAGAGGATCCAAATAAGTGTCCGAGTGTTTAAACCCTAATGCATGAGAAATGGCAAGTAAACACTGTAATTACTTATCTGCCATCATGAAAAAGTGTCCGAATAAGTGTCCGAGTGTTTAAACCCTAATGCATGAGAAATGGCAAAACAAACACCATAATTACATATCTGTCATCATGCAAGAGGGTCCGAATAAGTGTCTGAGTGTTTCAACCCTAATGCATGAGAAATGGAAAATAAACACCATAATTACATATCTGCCATCATGCATGAGGGTCCGAATAAGTGTCCGGGAGTTTAAACCCTACTGCATGATAAATGGAAAGTAAACACCATAATTATATATCTGCCATCATGCAAGAGGGTCGTAATAAGTGTCCGAGTGTTTAAACCCTATTGCGTGAGAAATGGAAAATAAAGACCATAATTACATATCTACCATCATGGAAGAGGGTCCGAATAAGTGTCTGAGTGTTTAAACCCTAATGCGTGAGAAATGGAAAATAAAAAGCATAATTACATATCTGCCATCATGGAAGAGGGTCCGAATAAGTGTCCGAGTGTTTAAACCCTAATGCAAGAGAAATGGAAAATTAACTCCATAATTACATATCTGCCATCATAGAAGAGGGTCCGAATAAGTGTCTGAGTGTTTAAACCCTAATGCAAGAGAAATGGAAAATAAACACCATAATTACATATATGCCATCATGCAAGAGGGTCTGAATAAGTGTCCGGGTGTTTAAACCCTACTGCATGAGAAATGGCAAGTAAACACCATAATTATATATTTTCCATCATCCAAGAGGGTCGGAATAAGTGTCCGAGTGTTTAAACCCTAATGTATGAGAAATGGCAAGTAAACACTATAATTACATATCGGCCATCATCCACGGGGGTCCGAATAAGTGTCCGAGAATTTAAACCCTAATGCATGAGAAATGGCAAATAAGCACCAAAATTACATATCTGCCATCATGCAACAGGGTCCGAATAAGTGTTCGAGTGTTTAAGCCCTCATGCATGAGAAATGGCAAGTAAACACCATAATTACATATCTGCTATCATGCAAGAGGGTCCGAATAAGTGTCCGCGTGTTTAAACCCTAATGCATGAGAAATGGAAAATAAACACCATAATTACATATATGCCATCATGCAAGAGGGTCCGAATATGTGTTCGAGTGTTTAAGCCCTCATGCATGAGAAATGGCAAGAAAACACCATAATTACATATCTGCCATCATGCAAGAGGGTTGGAATAAGTGTCCGACTGTTTAAACCGTAATGTATGAGAAATGGCAAGTAAACACCATAATTACATATCGGCCAACATGCAAGGGGGTCCGAATAAGTGTCGGAGAATTTAAACCCTAATGCATGAGAAATGGCAAATAAACACCAAAATTACATATCTGGCATCATGCAAGAGGGTCGGAATAAGTGTCCGAGTGTTTAAACCCAAATGCATAAGAAATGGAAAGTGAACACCATAATTACATATCTGCCATCATGCAAGGGGGTCCGAATAAGTGTCCGAGAATTTAAACCCTAATGCTTGACAAATGGCAAGTAAACACCATAATTACATATCTGCCGTCATGCAAGAGAGTCCGAATAAGTGTGTGAGTGTGTAAACCCTAATGCATGAGAAATGGCAAATAAACATCATAATTACATATCTGCCAACATGCAAGAGGGTTCGAATAAGTGTCTGAGTATTTAAACCTTAGTGCATAAGAAATGGCAAGTAAACACCATAATTACATATCTGCCATCATGCAAGACGGTCCGAATAAGTGTACGAGCGTTTAAACTCTATTGCCTGAGAAATGGCAAGTAAACACCACAATTACATATCTGCCATCATGGAAGAGGGTCGGAATAAGTGTCCGAGTGTTTAAACCCTAATGTATGAGAAAATGGCCAGTAAAAACGATAATTACGTATCTGCCATCATGCAAGGGGGTCCGAATAAGTGTCCGAGAATTTAAACCCTAATGCATGAGAAACGGAAAATAAACACCAAAATTACATATCTGCCATCATGGAAGACGATCCGAATAAGTGTCTGAGTGTTTAAACCCTAATGCATGAGAAATCGCAAGTAAACACCATAATTACATATCTGCCATCATGGAAGAGGGTCCGAACAAGCGACCGAGTGTTTAAACCGTAATGCATGAGAAATGGCAACGAAACACCAAAATTACATATCTACCATCATGTAAGAGGGTCCGAATAAGTGTCCGAGTGTCTAAACCCTAATGCATGAGAAATGGCAAATAAATACCATAATTACTTATCTGCCGTCATGCAAGGGGGTCCGAATATGTGTCCAAGTGTTTAAACCCCAATGCATGAGAAATGGCATGCAAACACCATAATTACATATCTGCCATCTTGCAAGAGGGTCCGAATAAGTGTCTGAGTGTTTAAACCCTAATGCGAGAGAAATGGAAAATAAAAAGCATAATTACATATCCGCTATCACGCAAGAGGGTCCAAATAAGTGTCCGAGTGTTTAAACCCTAATGCACGGAAATGGCAAATAAACACC